TTTCAAAATCAGAAATGTGATAACTTAATCCTTGTTCTAAATCTTTCTATTCTTCTTGTAAACTTTTTTCTTTATCATTATCTTTTGTCGAAACTATTAGTGCAGATCGCACAAGAACAATTTTAGCAAGTGTTACTAATTCATATAAAGTTGCAAAAAAATGAATATGGATACATTTGTCCAATAAGTTCACTTGCATCACTTTCGGCAGTTAGATGAACAGTTTGTAATAAGTTGTTTCTTCCAGTAATTTGTGTCCATGTTTTAACCAATAATGTTTTAAAACTAGTTGGACCTATCAACAAAATTGGTTCTCGAGCTTATGTAGCAAAAGCTACGTGTGCAAGTGCCCTTTTAAATGATATTGGTGGGCATGAACCATTCTTGAATAGATCAGATCGTTCTAACTGAGCATCTGCAACAAAAATTTGTACTTGTCCAAGAATAAAATTAACACCATTTGATTTCTGTTCTATATGCGGTGTTGGATGAGTCTTAAATAAATTTAAATCACGCTTACATTCTTTTGCTAATAATTGAGTTAAAATATCAAACTGCGTTGAAGATATACTTAATTTTGGTAATAACAATGATGCAGCAGCAAAATTCCAATTGTTTGGATCATTGGAAAACATTGAAGCACGACGATCTATCTTTATAAGTTCACGCATTGTTATGCGTGTAGATTTGGATTATTTCGAAGAGTAACATACATAGATGCCATGACAGTTGCAATATTAGAATGCATAGAAAGTTCATTACTTGAAATTAATCTTGGAATGCCAATCAATGGTTTTTCAACACGTTTCTTTAAAATATTAACGAGCTCCTCCTGAGTAAAATCATCTACTTGTACTTCTATAAATCGACTACGTAAAATAGGTGGTAAACAATTACGACCTTTAAATTGAGATCCAGCTGGATTTTGTGTGGCAAAAAATCGAAATTGTACATGAGCTTGAATAAATTCACCAGTTCCAGGTATACGAATTTCACCTCGATCAAGAACTGTTAAAATAATACTTAATACAGATGGATCAGCTAAATTAAGTTCATCTGCTAAAAACCAATGTCCATCTTTCATTGCACGTACAAGAGAGCCAGGTTGAAATTCAAAATGTGTTCCAAACGGTACAAGTGATCCAATATAGTCTTGAACAGATGTTGTATTAGAATTATTGACTCGTTCAAGTCTCATACCTGTTCCCATTAATTTTTTTCCTAAATGCACAATAAGTGATGTTTTACCAACTGCTGGTGGGCCTTCCAATAGAACTGGATAATTACTAATAATACATTTTCCACAGGTTTCTGCATGAAGAAGACGATTATTTGATAGGACATGTTCCGAAGAACTTTCGTTTTTATTGAAAAATTTTGATAAATTCGGTTTTGTTTGAGTTCCAGTGTCACTAGCTATTTGAAGCTCTTTATGCACAACTTCATCTAGTATTTTATGCAATTGATTAGTTGTATTAATTTGTTCTTGAATCGTAGCAACAAATGCATGATAAAGAGCATCCTTTAAAGTCAGTTCTGGTGTATGAGCTCGAAGTTTGTATGTACAATCGAATAATCGAATCATTGTCCGAAAACTAAAAATTTGTGACTGTCCATGTTGATCAGCAACTTTGCGAAGTTCCATCCATAATGAAGCAGCTATGGTAATGTTGTCAGAAGAATCTCCTAACAATCTTTGAACAATCATACTTATTTCATTAAGTGATTCATTCATAGATTCAGACTCAATTTGTTTTAATGATGGCATATATATTGTTATAAAACGATTTGAAAGTGCTGGTGAAAGTTCACCACCAATGCCTGCTGCTTTTGATGCGCTATCACCTGTTGGAGACATTGTTGCAATTATACTAAAGTTTTTTGGTATTTTCATTGGTTCTGTATCACCTTTTTCAGTTAATACCCAAACAGACGGTTGCTCTAATAATGAATTTAATCTTTCTAATACACATGAATCAGCATCGCTTAAATTATCAAGTAAAAGTCCAGCATCATGTTTTATAGCATCTGTTACAATACCATTACTCCAATCGACAAGATTGCCGTTATTACTTGAATTGTTTCCAACTGGAATAAATTGTCCAACAAGATCTGATGGATCTGTTTCGGGTGAAAATGTTAATGAAAATAATTTTTTTTGAATTAAGAGCATCAAAGCGGTAACAGTTTCACTTTTACCACAACCGACTTCTCCAACAATTAAAATTGGCTCATTAACGCTAAATGCTGAAACCATTTGTTTCCAAACTTGTTCTACTCGTCGTGTAATAACAAATACAGATGCAGCAGATATTAATGCAGATATATCACCAACTTTTTGTTTAGCTGTTTGTATATCAATGTTAGTCTTAAAAGATGAATTAATTTTTTCACAAAAATTTTCTTGTATTTCTTTGAAGCGAAATCGTAAAGCATAAAATACAATCCCACATGCAGCAAAAGTCTCTTCATAATTTTTATTACTACCAATTTTAGAGGACACCAATTGAAGCCATTGTTTTAGCCATATTTGTTGTACGTTATACAGTCCATATTTTTCTATAAATTTAGCGTTAAAACATGTTTGTTGTATGTGACTATGAATGTGAGCAGCTTCTTTCGTTAGAATCTCAAGTTTTTCGATATTTAAGTTATTTTCTAGTCCTTGAATCTTAAATAATTTAAAAATGTCAACAGCATATTGTGTATTGATAGATTCCAAAACGCTTTGTTCAATTAAATTTCGTTGAAGGCGATGATTAGAATCAAAATGAAGACAATCATGTTTAATAACCGTACTAACTGTAGTACTCCGGTTTTGATATAGGTCATAAACAAAGCCCATTTTTTTTTTGTTTCGCAAATTGCTTGTCGTCCTTCACGACGAAATCTAGCTCCATATATTGTCCACATTTCACTTGAGAGTAATTGTTTTCCTTCATCTGTATCAATTGGTTTCCAAATCTTCGATTTCATTAGTAATGTAATATGTGATGTTAATCGAAGTAATTCACGAATTGATATTTCAGCATAGGGTCCAATTTCTGGAAATGTTTGCTTACGTTGCGTACTTGATAAATCACCTTGAATTAAAGTTTCAACTGTTGTATGAAATTTAATTATTTGTTCAGCCATTTTTCTTAAACTTTTATTTGTTTCTAATGGTTTTAAACTTTCTAATCGACTGACAATTACATCAACCCATTCATCATCAGGCAGTTTACGAAATATAACAGGTACGAAACGAGAAAGCAATGATGATGATAAATCTTCTCTTTTACCTTTAAAAAAACCAGAATTCGGATTTTGTGTTGCAAATAGACGAAAATCAGGATGACGATGAATAATTTTGACGGAATTTGTCTGTGATGGATCTTTTAAAGTAATTTTACCTGTGTCAAGGGAAGCAATCAATGCTTGTAATGTTTGCGATGGTGCAAGATTAATTTCATCAAGCAAAATCCAATAACCTTTTTCAAATGCAATTGTAAATGGTTGATAATTCATTGTTATACCATAACGATTTATATTCAATTTTCCAAAAAGATCATCTTCTGTTGATCGTGATGAAAGATTAAAACGAACTAAAGTTGCACCGAATGAATGTGCAGCTTCAGTAATCGTGGCTGATTTTCCTACACCAGTAGCACCTTCTAAAAGTAGTGGTATCGGATTTTTTGCTGCTTCAATAATAATCAACAAATTTTCACGTGTTGTTTTTGTCATAACCATCGGTATATAATCGCTTACAGGCGCTGGTTGAGATGTGACGTCATTCTGAACGTTGTTTAATAATTGATTTCGAGCCGAACCACATGTTGATTGACTATGATGTGTAGTGTCAATTTCTTTTTCTAAAAATTCTTTAACCTGAGAAAAATGTTCTTTTTCAAGTGTTGATGAAAAACTAAGTCCATTGATATTCTTAATTTCATCAACTGAAAAGAATTGAGGTAATCCTGATAATGAATCATCATTTTTTTTACTACGTGTTTTCATTATTCGTGTTGATAAACCATAATTTTTCAGTAATAATTCGCGCTCTTTTAGTTTCATATCAAATGTAGCAGCAATTAATTTAATAGCACAAGTACTTATATAACTTTCATCATGATTGAGCATTTGCAAAAAGTCACCAAGATTTTGCATTGATATTTCTCGTGTCAATATTCCATATTCAATATCTTCACATAATTCTGTAAGAATTTTTGTAACTGATAAATATTCATCTTTTGTTAATTTCATTTCATTGATCACAGTTAATATGTGAAGAATTATGGAAATAATTTTTTTCAGAGTCTCATTAGATTTCGATGTTTTAAGTGCGTCTAATACCATATGAAAGTCATCCAAAAATGTTTTACTGTGCACAAGACAGTAAAAACCTGTTTCTGTTTGAATACGTGGAATAATATTTGTTAAAAGAATCTTATGACAATCTTCTTCATTGAAAATAAATTTTAATAATGCAAATATGCATGATAAAGTTTGTCCGAATGAAGTTGTAGGAAGAATGTCAAAAAAAAAATGAATCATTTCTTCTGCTACAGTCGATAATTTTATGCCACATTCAATATTTAATCCCTTCTTTTGACCTACTATCAAGCATTGTACGAACATTGGAGCAATAATTGATGCAAATTCATGAAATTTATCACCAACAGATTGTGTAAACGCATTCCAAATTACATCTGTTTTTTGTTTCAAATCATCTTCGCATTTTATGGTAGATAATAAATATTGTTCAAATTTTGAAGTAATATCAAACATTTTCCACATATCTGATACAAGATTTCGTTCTATCTTGTGAAGAGAATTTGTTATATACAATTTTTCGAAAATAAAAATCAATGTACGTGATCCGTCTACATTACGCATCGAATCATATAATAGACTACATATAATTTCATGAGCATTAGCATTGGATGCTTTTTTCAATGTATCAACCAAAAAATTCCATTCAATATATTGTGGATGAGTGGTAGAAATTTGTTGAATTAGGTTAGCAATGATTTCAAAATGGTAATTTGTAATTTTTTTTTCTTCATTACCTGTAATTCCAAATGATTTTAAAAGTTCTATAAACTTTTCCTTCGCTTGCGCATCATTTGGCTCTTGAATTATAGAAAGACTCAGGATGATGCTAATTTTTTTTCGAAATTCAGATGCACTTTTGTCGCATTCAACATTCTTTAAGGAAAAGCTTACCAGTGCATCAAACAATATTGGAAGCAGCGTTGTTTTCTTGTTGGATACCTCCACAGAAATTTTATCAAGGAATAGCATAAAAGTATCTGGTGTTTTAATTAACGCATTAAAAATATTTTCCAAGCCAGAAGCAGTCAATGAAATTTGCTTAGGTAATTTTGTATGCAAAGCACGACAAATAATTTCTGGAAGATTTTTACGTTCATCATTCTTGAGGCCAAGTAATAGACAAATAACGATGGGAAGAACAAGTCTTGATTCAAAACGTCGTAGACGTGCTGGAAGTTTTGACTCTACCTTCTCCTCGTCTTTAAGGTCTACTTCATCATATCGGAAATCAGACCAAGAAAATTTGTATGTTGAACCAGTAATGTGTTCTTTTGGAGGCATGAATATAGGTTCATACAATATGTATGAAATAAGCCCAAAGAAATCTTCTGCCATTATAATTCCAAGTTCACTTCGACGTACAAATTTACTATGACAGCATGCTTGAACAATTTTCATAATTTTTGTATGAATTCGACCAGTTTTTGTTTCATAAACAGAATTAAGCATTTTCAATAGCAATGCAAAAGCATTTTTTGCAGAAATTTGATTGACCCCAAGCTCATTACCTTGATTTGAACTATGAATCACAAAAAAGGAATCTACTGTTTGATCAAAGAGCTGAGTTATTTCTGGCAGCCATTCACGTTCAACAAGTTTAGGAATAAACATCCAGTCAATTAGTGATATCAATGTAGACACTGCATTAGGTGCTGAATGTCGAAGAAGTAATACAGGATAAGCATAATCGACTATTACCTGCAACGCAGCAACAACTCTTTGATGACTATCAAGAACTTTTGATGCATCAGTTGTCAAAATGCGTTTACGAATATGATCAACCATTTTACGATCGATTTCATCTATATTATCGCCGCTATTTATAAGCTGAGCGAATAATGAATTTACTGTTCCATTTAAATGTTCAACAAATTTGTCGATTGCTTGTATATCATGTTGAGTTGACAGCCGTTGGCTGTTTTTAGATGCCATAATCAGTTTCGTTTATATACTTCTTAAAAGCAACTTCTCTTTAAACTCATTCGATAATATCTAAAAACACAAAGAATCCAAGTTACTTTTGTAGAACTCACATATACTTTCGAAGAGAATAGTGAGTCCGAGTGCTAAGGTGACGTTTTCGTGGCCTCCTCATCCGCATTACAGACTCTAGCAATCGAGAATATCAGATGTCAGATTTTCCAGAGTTTTTCTCTTGTAAAATTTATTGAGATATAATTTTGAAAAATAATACATATCATTATTTGTGAGTTGATTGATATATATGATAGTGCGTAAGATCTGCTGTTGATATCGTGAATATGTAAAACAGACTTATTTGTCAAGTAGTTCAATGATTGTAATAATAAGAATGTTAAGTTGAAAAAAATGAATTTCAAAAAAGAAAAATAATGAGCGAACAGCAATAATGTAGACAAAAAACAGATGGCCCGTAGAAAAAAAATAATAAAAGAATTCTGTTGGGTGTGGGTATGGGTGTGGATGTGGGTATGGGTGTGGGTGTGGGTGTGGATGGGGATGAGTATGGGTGTGGGTGTGGGTGGGGATGGGGATGAGTATGGGTGTGGGTGTGGGTGGGGATGGGGATGGGTGTGGGTGTGGGTGGGGATGAGTATGGGTGTGGGTGTGGGTGGGGATGGGTGTGGGTGGGGATGGGTATGGTGTGGATGTGAGTGTGGATGTGGGGTGTGGGAGTGGGGTGTGACGTGTGGGCGTGAGGTGTGGAATATGGGGTGTGGGGTGCGGGTGAGTGTGGGGTGTGGATGTCGTTGTCATTCTAAGAAGTGCGTACACCGGCACTCAGGTAATCAACCGAGATGGTTACAAACTCACATAATTACCAATTGAGTTGGTTACTAACTGAGAAAGTAATGAATTGGTTTACTAATAAACTGACTGATTACTACAAAATTTTAAGTAAACAAAGGCTAATATTTGAGTTCTAAATTTATTCGGCGAAAATATTCGTCGGCGAAAATGAAAATAATCGCGGCATTTTAGCGTTGCTCAAGGGCTGCGATGTTAACTTTACTTTTTCTCTCACTAGTTGGTCGACCAAGAAAAAGTCACTCAAGTGCTGTATGCGACTTGTCATTGCATTAACAAAAAAGGATTAGTTCGTCGCAGAGATGCAGGGAGTGAGAGAGAAACTTACAGAGAGTAAAGGAGAGAAAACGCGCAAGAAAAAGAGAGAACAGTGTATGTTTTTTCTCTGCAAAAAGCATTCAAATCACTTTTGATTTTTCTTCAACACCAACACATACTCGAACAGGGTAGATTCGACAAGCAACAGAGAAAAGTTTCACTATTCACTCTAACGGCTTGTCTAGCTCTCTTTACATTAGGACTGAATGGAACCGGTGAAAAATTATTTTGGTACCTTCCTACTCAGGTTTCGTTCGAAAGCTGTCGCTTCTTAAAAAGCTCCACATTTGTGTCTCTCAAGGTCATTCCGCAAAAAAATCTCAACTTCACGGTGTATCGTGTAGACACAGGTGTCCCCGAATGTTTGCAACATCGCGTATATTATGTAAATCCTAGCATGGATTAAACAAAACATCCTGAGTTTTCTCTAGAAGAATCATTGCCGAATGCTCTCTAGATTTCTATCTATCTTTGTTCGAACAATGGAACTGATTATTTTTATAGATCACATTGTAAGACCCCATGTATTGCTCTTAGTAATTTAGTCTTCTCATATGAACAAATATTTGGTGCTGAAAACGGAACTTACTGCTACATAAATCATGAAAGCCGCAGCTAATCGTGCATTTATGCTAGATTCTCTATTCGTGATTATGTCGATCCGAGAGCATTCTCTACAGAATCGCTTTAACACATTCGCTGCGATATGAATATCGTTTTCTCATAATTCGTGAAAGTCATTATTTCTATATTTGTAGCAGATGTAATACTTCAAAACAGATTTTGTCAACGTTTCTCTTATGAATATGAGCTATGAACATCCATTTAAAAGTTATAAAAGAACCACGCCTTTTGGTCAAAATATGGCAGAGATATTCAATTTTTTCTGCACTCAAAGATCTTTTAACGCATCCTACAGTGAGACCCACCAGCGGGTCTCATCGGGTCGAATGTGTTAACGAACCACGACATTTTCTCACTTTTTGTGTTTTCCAAGAAGAGCCCCCTACAAATTTAACCTATGATCAGAACAAGTTGATTTACGCAGCATTTTCGGAAATGGATTTTCTTAACTAACTGCAGCTCAGATAACATCTAACAATAAATATACCTGATAGAATTGAAATCAGAATAGTAGAAAAGAAAATTGATTTTCACTGTGACGACCTAGCTGGTCGTTCCGATTGCCTAAAACTAAATTATCATAAAATGCTTACCCATCATTCTCAGAGAGCATTTGCTATTTGATCTAAATATTAAGATTACGTCTTTTAAGTGATTATTAGAAAAACGCAGTAAAAGAGTGTGGGAAGTAGATCCAATTCATACAATCCCACTGTGCACTTAATATTCAACTCATCTACATAGAAGTTTATTAAGAATTCAAAAGCAACAATTTCAGAGAAAACTAAAGATTTTCCGTTTTGGGGGTGTGGCTGCCGGTGTGAGTATGGGTGTGGGTGTGGTTGTGGGTGTGGGTGTAGAGGTGGGGGTGGGCATGGATGTGGCGTGGGTGTAGGTGTATGGGTGTACTAAAGGCTCACGCACATCCAGATCCGCACACCGACACATCGATGCGTCCACACCCTACCCACATCCGCACACACGCACATGCTTCTTTGAATCTCTTTTTGAATGTGGCACTTAAAGACCTGTTAATAACTAAATTGTAGATAAGAAATTTGATAAAAATATAATAACTAACGATACAGTGGGAGGAAAAATAAAAACTCTTCAAACTCATCTCGACAGAAACGAAGAAATCTCAGGTTCACGAAGAACTATATGAAGAAATGTAAACTAGACACTTTGAATATTCTTTTCCATCAATGTTACAAAGATTTCTCTCAAAAGAATCAACGGTCGGGATTATATAGAAACACACACTTACCTTGTTTTGAATATGCCTCTGTGCTTGTTCTCGAAACTGTGCTCTTCTCACAGCTTTATATACATCTAACGTCCATTACAATCTACGCAGTTTCTTTTTTCTTTTCTTTTTTATGTTTCAATTAGCGCTG